CCTTAAACTCAAAACGCTCACTCTGCTTCTCCCTCCACAGAAGCAAAACCGAAAGAACTGTGGATGCTATAAATCAGGAACAAAAACAAAAAAGTTGCTGGAAAAGCTCAGCAGGTCTGGCAGCTACTGTGAAGGAAAAGACAGAGTTAACGTTTCAGGTCCGGTGACCCTTCCTCAGATGCTGCCAGACCTGAGTTTCTCCAGCAATTTGTTTTCACTTCAGATTGCAACATTCATAGTGTTTCTCTTCATTTGGACATTGGAAAAACTTCTATAGTGCTGAAGAAAACAAAAAAAGATAAAACCCTCACTGTTGCTACCTAGGTGAGGGGAAAAAAAAAATTGTCAGCGATGCTATTGGCGCCCCTCTTACAAATAAGATGGCAGTCATTGCAATCAATTTAATTTAAATTAAATTTACGGGATAAGGATGTTACTGGTTAGGCCAGCATTTAGCTCCTCTGAGGGCAGTTAAGAGTCAACCACATTGCTGTAGGTCTGCAGTCACACACAGGGCAGGTTCCTTCTCGAAAACAAAAGGATTAGTGAACCAGATGGGTTTTTCCAACAATAGTCAATGGTTTCATGGACATTAGACCCTTAATTCCAGATTTTTATTTCATTAAATTCAAATTCGACCGCAGCAGAATTCAAACCCGGGTCCCCATAATCTGAAATAACAAGGTGTAGAGCTGGATGGACACAGCAGGCCAAGCAGAGGCATTTCTGAAGAAAGGTCTAGGCCTGAAACATCAGCCTTCCTGCTCCTCTGATGCTGCTTGGCCTACTGTGTTCATCCAGCTCTACACCTTGTTATCTCAGCTTCTCCAGCATCTGCAGTTCCTACTATCCCCAGAATATTATCTGGGTCTCTGGATTAACAGCGATAATACCATTGTCTCCCCCTTGACATTGACAAGTATTTATTGTCCATTCCTAGTTGCCCTCAAGAAAGTTCCTGAACCACTACTGTCCACTTGGTACAGGTACACCCAGCACTATTAGGGAGGGAGTTCCAGGATTTTGACCCAGCGACACTAAAAGGAACAGCAATATATGAGTCAGGATGGTCAGAGTCATACAGCATGGAAACAGACCCTTCGGTCCAACCAGTCCTTGTTAAACATAATCCGTGTTGGCTCAGAGGGGAACTTGCAGGGGCTGGTGTTTCCCATGTATCTGCTGCCCTTGTAGATGGAAGTGTTAGAAAAGGTGCTGTCTAAACAGCCTTGATGAATTCCTGCAGCGCATCTTGAGAACGGTACACTGCTGCTGAGCATCGTTGGTGGAGAGAGTAGAAGTTTGTGGATGTAGTGCCAATCAAATGGGCGACTGGAAGCTTTCCAAGACCAAAGTACATGTCTTTAGCATCATTTGCAGAGAAGAAACATTTCAAATTTCTATGTCACAAAGCCAGCTGAAAAGGTTGATATGCAGCAATTTTTAAACACTTCCTTTTCCACTCACAGTTACATATTGCAAATACACCAGCTATTTGGGTTGAGAGCTTTAGTCTGTTTACAGGGCTCAAGCAAATGGCCATAAGGAACAGGCAGTTAATATGTAATCAAGACATTTTTGGAAATTGAAACTCCTAGCTTTATATAAAAAAAATGAACTGCAGATGCTGTAAATCAGGAAACAAAACAAATTGCTGGAAAAGCTCAGCAGGTTTGGCAGCATCTGTGAAGGGAAAAACAGAGTTAACATTTTGTGTCCGTTCTGAGGAAGGGTCACCAGACCCAAAACATTAACTCGGATTTTCCCTTCAGATGCTGCCAGACCCGCTGAGCTTCTCCAGCAATTTGTTTTTCTCCTAGCTTTATGTTTGCTAACTTTTCCTATCCCTCATGTAAAAGCATTTTCCATTTTGATGCTGATCATTATCAGCCATTTGCAGAGCTTATTCCAATCCTCCAGTTGTTTACCTTACCCAGTTTCGGTATCTAAAACATTTTTCAGTTTTGCATCAGCTACAGGTTGAGCGGGGGGAGGGGAATAAAAGACCCTTGCTCTGAACAAGTGACCTTTTTACAGTGATAATCCCTTGGTAATGAGTCCAAACCAGAGACAGAGTTTCCCAAGTTATCACCAAAAACATTCAACATATTAAGTAACCTTTAAATCCAGCAGAAATATGGAGCCAGAAAATCTTTAACGAACAGCGGCAATTTGTTCAGGGGCCAGTATAATGAAAACATTTACATTTGAAACAAACCAGTGGACTATTATACAAGCAAAAAAAATAAAATTTCCATTAACACATGAATCCATTTGTAATCTTCTCCAAGTCTGGAAGAAGGAATTCAGCCTCCACGTTAATAACAATTTCTTGTCCACAAATAACTGATTTTAGTCTCCAGGCCATTAACCACACAAATGCCTCAAATCTGGCCCATCAGCTCTTGAAATAACAGCATTAACAGAACACAACATGCTCAGAAAACACAAGATAATTCAAGTTTCTTTTTAAGAAAAGATGATAGAAGAGCCAAGGTGTAGCAACTCAGTAATTAATTGAATTGGTTGCTGTTATTCAGATTGGAAAAAGCACCCCACCTCCATTTCCAGAAAACCTGTTAGAATTGTCTTGGAGTCAGAGGGCAGCAGTGTCCAGCAGTTAACACTGCTGCCTCACAATGTCAAGGACCTGGGCGACCATGTGTGCGGAGTTTGCACATTCTCCCCATGTCTGTGCAGGTTTCCTCCCACTGTCCAAAGATGCGCAGGTTAGGGTGGATTGGCCATGCTTAAATTGGCCAGAGTGTCCATGGATATGCAGGCTAGGTGGATTGGCATGGGAAATGCAGGGTTACCAGTTTTTTTTTTTTGGGGTGGGGGGAGGTGGGGAGCGAGGTTTGGGTATTGTTTGATCTTTGGAGGGTCCATCTGGACTTGATGGGCCAAATGTTCTGCTTCCACACTTTAGAGATTCTATGACTTTTAATGACAATAGGCTCCTCAGCCCATCATTTCCATACTGGTTAACAAAGTAGTCCCCTATTCTAATCACAGATTTCCCACAATGTTGACCACAGCCTTGTAGATATCTTCTAACCAACTTGCTCAGAGATGTTACTACACACACCAGGAACAGGCAGAACTTTTTAATTCATAAAGATTTGAACATGACAGGCAGGGCCAGCTTTATTGCTTGTCCCTAACTGCCAGAGGGCATTTAAGATTCAACCATGTTGCTGTGGGGCTGTCCTACAGGTGACTCCAGACTAGGCAAGGACAGATTTCTTTCCCTAATAGATGTTAGTGAACCAGATGGATTTTTTTTGAAACTGATAATGGTTTCACAGTCAGACACTTAATTCCAGAACTTTACAGAACTGAAACTCCACCAGCCATGGCAGAATTCAAAGCCAGGTCCCCAGAACATTGACTAGCTATAAAACTAGGCCATCGGCTCCCACAAACCCAAACGTGGGCCCATTGACTCAGGAGGTGGGGGTCATTAACCCTGTCCCACAATTGCCCACAAACCCAGAGCCTATGCTACAGCATCTCAAGTGCCCATTCAAGTATTTCTGAAGCGTCTGGGGGGGTTCTTGCCTCTACCACCACTTTAGACAAAAAGTTCCAAATACCCACCAGTCTCCACGTGAAATAGTTTTTCCTTCAGCCTCTTCTAAACTTCTTGTTCCTTACCTTAAAACACTGACCAATATCATTGGCTCCTCTACCAAGGGAGAAACAGTTTCTCCCATCTAAGCACCTCAGAACTTTGTATGCCCTAGTCAGGACCCCAACGCCTGTACCCATTTCTGCTTGGGGGATAAATCAGTCCAGACTTTCTAATCTCCCTTCATTGCTGAATCACTTCAGCCCAGGGCCATGATCCTGGTGAATCTCCTCTGCACACTCCCAGTACAAATCATCTCCTTCCTATAGGATGGTGACCAGAGCTGTATACTGTACTCCAGCTCCAGAGCTGGTGAATAAACATGAAATGTACCAAAGTATCATAATGAGACAACAAAGGTGTCAAGCTGGATGAACACAGCAGGCCAAGCAGCATCAGAGGAGCAGGAAAGCTGACGTTTCAGGTCTAGACCCTTCTTCATTTTCTAGACCCAAAACATCAGCTTTCCTGCTACTCTGATGCTGCTTGGC